AGGCTATCTCTATATTTTGCTGCACTGAGCGTTTCTTCTACTCTAACGAGTCCCTCAGTCCCTGCTGCTGAAAAACAGCCCCTCAGCATGAGGCTGCTACCAGCACACTTTACTTTTGGGATGGTACTCTGCAGATGATTAGCAGAGCTGGTTTCCATCAAACATGATGCCTGGAATTGAGGTTCATCAGACCAGAGACTCTTGTTTCTCAGAGTCTGAGAGTCCTTTAGGTGTTTTTATGCAAAATCCAAGTGTGTTTTCATGTGTCTTCACTGAGGAGAGGATTGAGTCTGGCCACACCGGCATAAAGCCCAGATCGGTGGAGTGTTGCAGTGATGTTTGTCCTTCTGTAGATTTCTCCTATCTCCACATATGATCATGGAGCTCAACTAGAGTGACCATCAGGTATTTGGTCACCACTTTAACTAAAGCCCTTCTCCATCAGTTGCTCAGTTTGGCCAGGAGGCCAGCTCTAGGAAGAGTCCTGGTTGTTTCAAACTTCTTCCATTATGGGTAACGGAGACTACATGCTTCTGTGACCCTTCAATGAAGCAGAATTTTTTTTCTGAATTCTTCCCCAGATGTGTGGCTTGACACAAACCGGGTTCTGAGCTCTACAGGCAGATCTTTTGACCTCAGGGCTTGGTTTTTACTCTGCTATGCATTATCAGCTGTTAGACCTTTTATTAAAATGTGTGTGCCTTTCCAAATCATACCCATTTAATTGAATTTGCCACAGATTAACTTCACTCAAAGTGTAGTAACATCTACAAGCAATATGAATGCTCCTGAGCTAAATTTCAACTGTCCCAGACATCTGCAATGGAATAATTTTTTTATTTTTAATAAATTTGCAAAAGATATTAAAAACCTGTTTTTTTGCTTTACAATTATGGTGTATGGAGTGTAGATTGATGTGGGAAAAAAGTAATTTAAAGCAGTTTAGCATAAAGCAGCAACTTAACAAAATGTGAAAAAAATGAAGGGGTATGAATACTTTCGCAAGGCACTGTATATTCTGATTATTACTGTACCTCCTTTTGTCGTTTCAAATTTCATTTAAAAGGAGCTGTAAGTGATGTTATCTGTTCTGGAACTTAAACCAGACTAAAGCCTGGGGTATCCACCTTAATCTAAGAGCGGAACAGAAAATGCACAAAAACAGTCCATTATGCTGCTTGATACTGCAAACTGTATTTGTTATATTGTTTAAATTTATTACCATAATCAAACAAACTGTTTACTAAACTTTGTTATTCTTCTAGTTTTTTTTTTTTTAATGATTCTGAAGTCTCTAACATTTACAGAAAATAGCTTAACACATGCACACTAGAAAGATTTTGGTCTAATTCCCTCAAACAAGCACTCGTCAACGTGTGTGTCTATTGTTTTTGCTGTCTTTAGTTTGCTGTTCTTGTTCTGTCACCACTGTTTCTGTGAAATAATGGCTCGGGCCAGTGTTGCCACCTTGTGGAAAAAAATTTCCAAGTGGCAGACAACAACACAATCCTTACAAAAATTAACAATGGTTAATTTTCATAAGGGAAAAATATGACTCATTATAATGCAATAACATGTTCAGTATTAGAATTTTACCATGAATATATTGTAATTATGTAATTGTTATTGTAATAATTTTGACATTTAGGTCATTTAGAAAATATCCGAAGAAATTAAGAGACTGAAAAGGAAAATGGAAGTGAATGCAGTTCAGGAGATAACTTAATTATTTTGCATAATGTTTTTTTATGTGATGGCCATACAAAAAAAAAAAAGGTTGTCCTTGTTTCAGAATTTGTTGTGGGTGTATAGGATGGCCTGGATGAGTGTGAGATTTCCCAGCCTGAAATTTTGTCCCAGTCCGCCCCTGATATGGATGCTTAAAGGGTTAGTTCACCCAAAAATGAACATTCTGTCATTAATTACGCACCCTCAAGTTGTTCCAATCCCCTAAGACTTTTGTTCATCCTCAGAACACAATTGAAGATATTTTAAATGAAATTCGAGAGGTTTCTATCCCTCCATTTACAGCCAAAGCAAGTTTCACTTCGAAGGCCCAGAAAGGTTGTAAAAACATTATGGAAGTAGTCGATGTTACTCCAGTGGTACTCCAAGAAGAAAAAAAGACTATATTCAACATTATTTTCTTAACTCTCCAAGGCACAAAAGCATTCCCGTCGCTTCAGAAAATTACAGTTGAACCATTGGAGTAATATCGACTACTTCCATTATGTTTTTACTACATTTCTGGGCCTTCGAAGTGAAAGTTGATTAGGCTGTCAAGGAAAGAACGCTCTCAAATTTCATTTAAAATATATTCAATTGTGTTCTGAAGATGAACGAAAGTCTTAGGGGATTGGAACAATATTAGGGTGAGTAATTAATTAAAGAATTTTCATTTTTGGGTGAACTATCCCATTAACACAATCATATCTGTCAGGTAATTGGTATATTTTTGGACTGATGTTGCATGAAATCACTTACAGTACCTTTAACACATACATAATATAAAATTGGGTATAAAAGGGATTATAATAATTAATACTGAGATAAAACAATGAAGTCATACTACAGCAACATCTACTTATTCATCACTTTGAGGTTAATATGTGTATTTGCCACTAACAAAGACCCTCTTCACTGAAGTGGTTTCTCAGACTTACATAACAGGCTCCTGGATCTCCTTGACCCCAATGAATTTAAGCTGGCCGGTGATTTCTGGTAAACTTTCACACCTGGCTAGGTTAACCCTGGGGTAGTACAGCAGATATGACAAACACATCTCATCCCGAGTACTAAGACCTCCCTGTAGAAAAAAAAAAAAATTCCACATTACTAGGGTCAAGACCTTGAAATACTACACCAACATAATGCATCTGAAGCACTGTTATAGCCAGAGGCCTGTGTCAAATTATGCACACTGCACAGTACTGAGCAAACTGAACTGACATGCACAGAGCAGCAAATATATCTTGATCTCTCTAATACGAATCCAAAACACCAGTGATTTGGCCATGATGTTTATAGATTGTGGACTGTCTACAGAGAAAAAGCAGCTCAGCTCAGCCTATCAGAAATGTGCAGCTCACTGCAGCTGGATCCATCTCCACAGACCTGCAGCTGTTTGCAGGCACATTATTTAGCCAAGAGCATGCAGTCTTTCACAGACCCCATTCAATGGCATGTTTCTGTTCAGCTGTTCAGTTTGTAAAGAATTTGCATTCTTGTGCAGTTGGTTTCTTAATTTTTAACAGGTTAACAATTCATATTTGAGCTAATTTGTAATTATGAAATGAACATTTTGTCTTGAATTGTTGTTCCAAAGCTGTATGTCTTTCTTCTGTGATATTAAGATATTATTTATGTTCAACAGAAGAAAGTAAGTCAGTCATTCAGGTTTGGAACGACATTAAGGGTGAGCAAATAAAGACAGATTTTTCATTTTTGGGTGAACTAAGTTGATAAACAAAATGAGAAAATAAAAAAAAAAGTGCTATTTTAAAATCATTTTATAAATTCTCAAAGGAAACTTGTTAAATTAGCCCCTAGAATGGCCTACAAATCGGACATCATGACTGAACACTAACAGCTCTATTATGCTTGACTAAGCTTGCTGTTAACCAGGATTTCTATCATGAATAACTCTATAATTGGTATAATTCACAAGAAAACCTAGCCAAACAATATGACACGAATCTGTATAATTGTTGTTAGTAAAAGCAAACAAGGCTTTACAAGCCTTAATCTTACCCAGGTCATGTTCATTCTGCCTTTAGTGTTGTATCTACATTCAGTGATTAGAGAATCTCCCTAGTGACAGAAAAACATGTCAGTTAACACACAGATATTAAAAGTGAATTACAAAAACCATTTGCTTATCTATTATGCTCACTGTTGGGTGCTTGCCAAACAGATAGGCCATTGAAACTCATTTGAGAATAAACTGTTAAAACCTCACTGATCGTTATCACAGAACAGGACAGGATAACAAGTCACAACTCACACATGAGTCACCTCTCGCCTGTGGGCCCTTTTAAACAGACACCAGTCCTGCAGATGCACAGTGTGTGCTCTTTACATGTTGAATTTATTACACCACTCTTAGGTAATACAAAGTGCCTGGATATGGCTGAGACACTGGAGCATAATTGCTCTATTCTTTACTGCTAAAACACTACCAATCCCTCAGCTATAAACTCAGAGCCCTGAAAACAATCTAAAGACTTTAGTCAGAGTAAACGGCATATTTAATTTGACCCAAATGAGACTGCGAGGGATAAAAGCACAGTTTGTTCGCTATATTGCGCCTTTATATCTAAATGTCTAAATTTAATAACCCATGATTTCTGGAGTTCTTATATTGCCTGGAAATTTGTGGGAACAGATTTTATTGTTATTAACCACTATTGACACCCAGGTACACACCACTACGATATATTGAACAGACTGTACTTATGTCCCTCAGACAGCCACACCTTTTGCCCATTTGATTTTTCCATGACTTTTCCAGGCCTAGAATTCACCATTTTGAAATTCCCTGCTATTTCTAGGTTTTCCATAAATCAGTAACGTAAACTGTGAGGTTCACTGTATCTGATGATTAATGCAACATCAATTTCACCCTCAGATGGAGCAATGAAGATTATGAAACTGAAATGGACTCTGACTGACAGGCAGGATGATCCTCTCCTGGCTGAGTGGCTGGAACTCCTGGAAGTTGAAATCAAACTGATCATCTGAGGCTAGTGGCTGGAGCTCGACCTGCTGGCGGAAATGTCTGGCTCTGATAGCCCGTCCTGCCAGGTGAGCATGGAGCAGAACTGCAAACACATGAATTCCACTGGGCATCTCGCTGTCTAATGACTTACAGGAAAAGAGACACATGTTATACTCTTATTTTTTTCTGGGTCTGGGTTTTGAGAAACTTGCACTAGCATTCAAAAGTTAGGAATTACTAAGACATTTTTATCTTTTTGAAGAAACTTAATAGTTTTAATTTGATTTGATTGGTAAAAAATTGTTGAAATAACTATTGTAATATTTCAAGTTTTCTTCACTACCATTTGGAATAAAAAAAAAAAAAAGAAATTAATACTTTTATTCAGCAAGTATGCATTAAATTGATCAAAAGTGACAGTAATTATACTTATAATGACACAAAATATTTCTATTTCAAATAAGAAGAAATGTTACTTCAGCAGCAAATCAGCATATTAGAATAATTTCTGAAAAAAATCACGTGACACTGAAAACTGGAGAAATGGCTGATGAAAATTCAGCTTTGCCATCATAGGAATAAATTACATTATAAATATATTAAAATGTTTTATTATTTTAAATTGTAATAATATTAAACAATAATACTATTTTTAATCTATTTTGATCAAATCAACACAGCCTTGGTGAGCATAAAAGTATTTTAGAACAGTGTTTATTTACATAAATAGCCATTTGTAATAATATAAGTCTTTACTGTAATTTAATGCATCCTGAGTATTGATTTCTTTCATAGTGATTTCAAATGTTTCAGTAGTAGTGTAGGTCTCAAATATGAACGTATAAAGTGTAAATGGAGTGTAACCACAATAATTCCTGGGTATTATTTATTTATTTATTTTTTGCGGTCCCACCTCTTGGAGACACTCCTGTGTGCAGTGTCCTTCTGTAATATAATCCTGCATGCCTGGGGGCAGCATGTGGTAGAGACTGACCCACACTCCTGTCTCGATGACCCCAGCATCATAGCGCCTCAGGCTGGGGCTGTAGTACAAACGCAGGCCTGAACTGTCCACTATACCTGTGGTGAGACCAAAACCCAGCTCTGAAGCAGCTCTGAAGTTCACGACTCAACCCTTACAGAAAAACTCATTATTTAGTAGCTGAAAATCACTGTAATATACCATGGAGACTACAGATCACTTCATGCACAGACACATAAAATACAATAAACGACACAAAAAGTCACAGGACTTAGTCATGTCTTATGTCACTTAGG